CAAGAAAAATCTGGAAAGACTAAATACATGCAGGTTAAATAACATGCAACTAGTCAATGAATGGCTCAACCAGGAAATAAAAGAAGAAATAAAAAATTACATAGAAATAAATGAAAATGAAAACACAATGGTCCAAAACCTCAGGGATGCAGCAGAAGCTGTTCTAACACGGAAGTTTAGAGCAATACAGGCGTACCTCAAAAAGCAAGAAAACTCTCAAATAAACAACCTGACCTTCCATCTAAAGGAGCTAGAAAAAACAACAAACAAAACCTTAAACCAGCAGAAGTAAAGAATAAAGATTAGAGCAGAAATAAATGATATAGAAACTGAAAAAAAAAAGAACAGACCAGTGAAAGCAAGGGCTGGCTCTATGAAAAAAATTAATAAAACTGATAAACCTCTACTGAGACTTATCAAGAAAAAAAGAAAAAGGGCTCAAATAAATAGAATCACAAATTAGCAAAGAGAAATAACAACCAACACCACACGTAGAAACAATCATAAGAGAACATTATGAAAAACTGGCATATGCCAGAAATTGGGGAACCTAGAAGAAATGGATAAATTCCTACAAATATATAAACTACCAAAACTGAAACAGAAGGGAATAGAAAATTTGAACAGATAACCAGCAAAGAATTGGAGTCGGTAATCAAAAAACTCCCAACAAACAAAAGTCTGGGTCAGATGGCTTCACAAGTGAATGCTACCAAACATTTAAGGAAGAGTTACACTTATTCTTCTCAAACTTTTCCAAAAAATAGAGAAGAAAGGAAAACTTGCAAATTTAGTCTGACAGAAGCATTACCCTGATACCAAACTCAGATAAAGACACCACTAGAAAGAGAACTATAGACCAATATCCCTGATGAACATACACACAAAAATCAATATTTAAAAGGAAAAGCAGGGGTGCCTGGATGGCTCAGTTGGTTAAGCGTCAGACTCTTGATTTCACCTCAAGTTATGATCTCAGGGTTGTGAGATTAAGCCTCACACTGGGCTCCATGCTCAGCAGGTAGTCTGCTTCTCTTCCTCTCTCCCTCTCCCTGTGCCCCTCCCTCCACTCACACACTCTCTCTCTAAAACAAATAAATACATAAATCTTTAAAAAGTAAAAATAAAAGGAAAAGCAAGCTGGAGGCATCACAAATCTAGACATCAGGTTATACGACTAAGCTGCATTAATCAAAACACTATGGTACTGGCAAACACATAAATCAATGAAAGATAATAGAAAATCCAGAAGTAAACCCACAACTTTAGGATCAATTAATCTTCAACAAAGCAGGAAACAATATCCAATGGTAAAGGACAGTCTATTCAAAAAGTGATGCTGGAAAAACTGGACAGCAACATGCAAAAGAATGAAATTCCACCACTTTCTTACACCATACACAAAAAAAATTCAAAATGGATTAAAGATCTAAATATAAGACCTAAAACTGCAAAAATCCTAGAAGAGAAGACACGCAGTAACTTCTTGACATCAGCACTAGCAACTTCTTTCTAGTTATATCTCCTGAAGAAAGGGAAACAAAAGCAAAAATGATCTACTGGGACTACAACAAAATAAAAAGCTTCTACACAGCAAAGGAAACAATTAACAAAATCAAAAGGCAACCTATGGGGGCACCTGTGTGGCTCAGTCATTAAGCGTCTGCCCTCGGCTCAGGTCAGGATCCCAGCATTCTGGGATCGAGCCCCGCATTGGGCTCCCTGCTCAGCGGGGAGCCTGCTTCTCCCATTCCCCCTGCTTATGTTCCCTCTCTCACTGTGTCTCTCTGTCAAATAAATAAATAAAATCTCTTACAGAAAAAAGAATTTATAAAACTCAACACAACAAAAACAAATAATCCAATTACAAAGTTGTCAGAAGACACAGACATTTCTCCAAAGAAGACATTAAGATGGCCAACAGACACATGAAAAGATACTCATCATCACAGAAATGCAAATCAAAACTACAATGAGCTATCACCTCATGCTTGCTGGAATGGCTAAAATCAACAACACAAGAAAAAACAGTTCTTGACAAGGATGTGGAAAAAAAAGAACCCTCATGCACTATTGCTTGGAATGCAAACTGGTGTAACTACTGTGGAAAACAATATGGAGGTTCCTCAAAAAGTTCAAAATAGAACTACCCCATGATCCAGCCATCATACTACTGGGTATTTATGTAAAGAATACATAAACACTAATTCAAAGGGATATATATGCCCCTATGTTAATAGCAGCACTATTTACAATGACCAAGATATGGAAGCAACTCAAGTGTGCATCGATTGATGAATGGATAAAGAAGATGTGGTGTGTGTGTGTGTATATATATATATATATATATGTATATATATATATACACACACAATGGAATATCATTCAGCCATAAAAAAGAATGAAATCTTGTCATTTGCAACAAAATAGATGGCGCCCAATAGTGTAATGCTAAATGCAATAAGTCAGTGAAAGACAAGTAACATAACATTTTACTTATATGTGGTATTTAAGAAACAAATGAAAAATTGAAAAAAAGAGGGAGAGACAAGCAAGAAACAGACTATAGAGAACAAACTGATGTTTACCACAGGAGCGGTATATGGGAGAATGGGTGAAATAGATGATACAGATTAGAGTACCCTTATCATGATGAGCACTAAGTAATGTACACAACTGCATATTGTACACCTGAAACTAATTTAACACTGTATGTTAACTATACTGGAATTAAAATTAAAAACTTAATAAAATTAATATATATGTGTACGTGTGTGTGTGTACATGTGTGTGCGTTCAGCAAAAGAAAAGGGAAGAATAGGAAATTATATATGTAGGTTTAAGCATCCATCCAAAACGTACATCACATTGGTTAGAAATATCAGCTGTAAAGTCTGAACTGGATTCAGATCTGACTATCACTTGCTAATTCAATGACCGTAGGCAAATTACTTTACCTCTCTAATCTTCAGCACCTTCATTTGTAAAGATGAGTATACTAACATCTATCATACAGGGATACTGAAGGATTAAATGACAAAACAAATGCATAACATTTGGGGTGTCTAACACAAAAGAATATAATAAATTTGCTACTATTACTAGTACTGTTATAACCTTAATAATGTAAAATACTACACATACATACAGGGAAAAAAAGATGAAAACTAAAATATTAATAGGAACTATCTCTGAGAGGTGGTAAAAAGTGATTTTTATTTTCTTCCTGGTATTTGGCCTATATTTTCTAGTACATAATATTTTTATCAGAAAAAATTTTAATGAAGAGACATTAGCATTTCACAATGCTCTATACTCATGTCTGAAGCAACATGGCCCGGACCTGTCAACACAGACCTCTACACACACTCTTAACCAAATAATATTTACACACTGACCTGAAGGACAGTAAGTTGGAATTTAGTCCCCTTCTCTGGTCGAGGACAGGAAGCTCTTCTTTGTTTGATCCGATCTTGTTTGCCATTTCCACAGGGGTTATCAGGGGTATTGATGTTTTCCTTCACAGCTGCCACATCCGGATTCAAACTAGTTATTAGAAAAAAAACAAAAGCAAGTCCTATTCAATTTCTCAGAGAAAACATTATTCCATGATTCTCAAAGCCCAGTATTTAACCCAAATGAGAATTAACATCTGAAATTCTATGATGTCTAGAATAATTCCATTCTGATGGTAAACTTCTAGAAAAACTCCAACTATAAAATAACACATAATAAGTTTAAGGAAAATAAATAAGAAATATAATGTCTGAGAATATACAAAAAGCAAATTGTACACTTTAAATTGGTTAATTTAATGGTATGTGAATTATATCTCAATAAAGATATTTTTCAAAGTTATGAAAAACTGAGATAATATGTATTTATTGGCAATCACCTGACAGTAGTGGGAATGAAAGAAAAACACTGTCATTGATGGACCTCTGTGGAACCTTTTATCGGAAGATGCTCTTGATCAATTTTATCTTGTTTGTTTTTGGGTATATTATTAATGTGTTCAAATAAAACTTCTAATAAACAATTTTCACTCAAAATATACCTGTTTATGGGTCAGACTCAAAAGGGCACAGACAAACCAAGTGGGGGAGACAGGAACAGGGTAGGAGAAAGAACAAAAAAATGAAAATGAGATTTAAAAAAAATGTGGTAGTGGTTTGTTAGAAGGTGGCGGTGGAGTAGGAGGACCCTACACTTGCCTGTCCCATGAATACAACCAGATAACTATCAAATCATCCAAAATACACCAGAAATGGACCTGAAGACTGGAAGAACAACTACACAACTAAAGGTAGAGAAGAAGCCACACTTAAGAAGATAGAAAGTGTGGAGGCATGTTTGGGAGAGAATCAGATCGTAGCCACTGGGGTGGGAAGGAAGCAGTAGTCACAGAAAAGGGTTAGACAGACTAACACGCAGGGGAATGCATGGGAAAACAAATCCACGTAACAATTGGCTTGGAAAGCAAGAGGGACCAAATTTCATGACTTTCGGCCACCAGCGGGGCATAAACCCTGGAGTTTTAAAGGTCACTGGACTTGGCTGGGATACAGCCCAGAGGGCATTGTGCTACTCTTGCAGAGCAGGCAGGCAAACAACCTATCAGTATACAATGTGGCAACAGTGATATGAAGAGCACCTGGGGTACACAGTGGGGAGGTTATTTGTTCATTTTAGACCACATCCCAGAGAGGCAGGTTCACAGAGAGAAACCTCCAGGAAGAAAAGAACTAGGCAGTGCCATTTCCTTCCCCTGACCCTAAGTGTAAGCAGAGGGCCACCACAGGAACCAGCACAATTCTGACAATCCCAACCTGACATGCTTATACCAAGCCCCACATTCTAGTGGAACCCCCACATTCTAGTGGAACCCCCATTCCCAGTCTCCATTGCCTCAATCCCACCTTGGAGGGTCCCTCCCCCAGAAGACTGGCCCCAAACCCTGCTCACAAAATGCCTCCTGACTCAGGAGTTTTGCAGAGCCTCAGTTATAGTGGCAGTGAGATCAGGTCTCATTTCACAAACAGACCAGAGCACACCTAGTTAAAACATGCCACATTCAGGCAAGGAACCAAACACTGCCCACAACACACAAACAGAGCCTCTGCAAACAACTGGCCTGAAGGATAAAGTGGCTAGGACAAAATAAGAGCATACACAGCACACACTGGAGACACTCCTGTAAGCACCAGGCCCTGGGGAACAAGGGACACTACTGGGCAAGGCACTACAGGATCTCTTCATCATAAGGCCATTACCCTCATGAATAGAAGATGTAGCTGACTTTCCTAAAACAGAGAAACAGGCACAGAAATGTAGGTAAAATGAGAAGACAGAGAAATTTATCCCAAATGAAAGAACAGGACAAAGCCACAGCCAGAAACCTAAGTAAAACAGAAATATGTAACATGTCTGATAGAGAATTTAAAGTAATGATCACGAACATACTCACTGGACTTGAGAAAAGAATGGAGGACATCAGTGAGACCCTTAACACAGAGATAAGGAATAACATAGCAGCAATAAAAGGCTCAGTAAATGAAATGAGAAGCACACTTGATGGAATGAAGAGCAGAATAGAAGAAGTAGAGGAACAAATTAGTGACCTAGAAGACAGAATAATGGAAAGTCATCAAGTTGAGCAAGAGAGAAAAAAGAATTATGAGAAATGAAAATAGACTTAGGAAACACAGTGACTCCACCAAATGTAATAACATTCATATTATAGGAGTCCTAGAAGAAGAGAGAGAAAAGGGGATAGAAAATTTATTAGAAGAAATAATAGCTGAAAACTTCCCTAATCTGGGGAAGGTAACAGATATCCAGATCCAGGAGGCATGAGAATGCCAACAAAATCAACTAAAAGAGATCCATACCAAGATATATTCTAATTAAACTGGCAAAAAAACAGTGATAAAGAAAAAAATTTAAGGGGCACCTGGGTGGCTCATTGGTTAAGCATCTGCCTTCAGCTCAAGTCATGATCCTGGGGTACTGGGATTGAGCCCCTGCTCCCGGGAGCAGGGAGCCTGTTCTTCCATCTCCCTCTGCAACCCCCCTGCTTCTGCTCCCTTTCCCTCCCTCTCTCTCTATATATAAAATAAATAAAATATTTAAAAAATTTTTTAAAGCAGCAAGGCAAAAGAAGATAGTAACATAAAAGAGAAACTCCATAAGGATAAGCAGGGGATTTTTCAGCAGAAGCTTTGCAAGCCAGAGGGGAGTGGCATGATAGGTTCAAAGCGCTTAATGAGAAAAATGTGCAGCCAAGAATACTCTATCCATCAAGGCTACCATTCAGAACAGAAGGAGAGATAAAGAGTTTCCTGGACAAATAAAAACTAAAGGAGTTAATGACCACTAAATCAGCTCTGTAAAAAATATTAAAGGGGACTCCCTGAGTGGAAAGGGGAGACCCAAAGTGAAAGTATAAAGGTAGGAAACTAAAGCAGTAGAAATTAGTATTTCTGTAAAAATTCAGTCAAGGTATTCACAAAACAAATGGAAAACATGTAAAATATGTAAATATGTGAAATACGACAAAATATTCCTAAAATGTGGGGAGAAGAGTAAAGAATGGGTCTAAACTTAAACAATCATCAAAATAATATAGACTGCTACATGCAGAAGATGTCATACACAAACCTAACGGCAACCATATAACAAAAACCACTAATAAATATGTAAATAACAAAGAGAAAAAAATCCCAATATATCAGTAAGGAAAATCACCAAATGATGAAAGAGATAAAAACAATACAGGATCAGAAAAAAATCTTCAGAAACAACCATGAAACAAAGAATAAAATGACAATATATTTTCAATAATTACTTTGAAGGTAAATGGACTAAATGCTCCAATCAAAAGTCATAGGGGGACAGAATGGGTAAAAAAATAAGACCCACCTATATGCAGCCTACAAGAGACTCACTTTAGACCTAAAGACACCAACAGATTGAAAATGAGGGAGTGGAGAAACATCTATCATGAAAATGTATGTCAACAGAAAGATGGAGGAGCAATATTTATATCAGAGAAAACAGACTTTAAAACAAAGACTAACAAGAGAAAAAGGAGGGCAATATATAATCATAAAGGGGATACCCAACCAGAAGATACAACAATTTTAAATATCTAGGCACCCAACGAATGAGCAAAGAAAGAGTTAATAACAAATATAAATAATCAATAACCATACAATAGTTAGGTACTTTAACACCCAAATTACATCAATGAGCTGATCATCTAAACAGAACACTGGGGCACCTGGGTGGTTCAGGCAGTTAAGCATCTGCCTTTGGCTCAGCTCATGATCTCATGGTCCTGGGATAAAGCCCCAGGTAGGGCTCCCTGCCTAGTGGGGAGTCTGCCTCTCCCTCTCCTTCTGCCCCTCTCCACTGCTCATGCTCTCTCTCTCTCTCACTCTCAATCTCTCAAATAAATAAAATCTTTTTTAAAAAACGAACAGCAACAAGGGAACAATGGCTCTGAATGACACTGGAAAAGATGGATTTAACATATATATTCAGAACATTCCATCCTAAAACAACAGAATACACATTCTTTTCAAGTGCACACTGAACAACCTACAGAATAGATCACATATTAGCTCTCAAAACAAGCCAAAACAAATTCAAGAAGATTGAAGTCATACCATGCATCTTTTCTGACCACAACACTATGAAACTAGAAGTCAACCACAAGAAAAATCTGGAAAGACTAAATATATGCAGGTTAAATAACATGCAACTAGTCAATGAATGGCTCAACCAGGAAATAAAAGAAG